CACAATTTTACACGAAAGGTACTACTAGCTGAGTATATTACTAACAATATCTTGGTAACTTTAGCAGCCTGAGCATGTGGAAAAGCTCAGAAATTGTTTTTATCAGCAATATCAGTTGATAAGCCAGCTACTTCAAGAATGTCAAGATTAGTCACCCAAAATAGCATAATTTTACAAAAAAGGTACTAGTAGCTAAGTTTATTTCTAACGATATCTTGGTAACTTTAGTGCCAGATCATGTGGAAAAGCACAGAAATTGTTTTTATCAACAATATCAGTGGAAAACAGTGATGTAAAAATCCAGCTACTTCAAAAATATCAACATTTGTATCCCAAGTTTGTACAATTTTAAACGAAAGGTACTACTAGCTAAATTTATTACTTACGATATCTTGGTATCCTCAGTGCAAGAACATGTGAAAATGCTCAGATATTGTTTTTATCAGCAATATCAGTTGAAATCATTGATGTTAAAATCCTGCTACTTCAAGAATATCAAGATTTGTCTCCCAAAATAGCATAATTTTAAACCAAAGGTACTAGAAGTTGAGTTTATTAATAACGATTCCTTGGTAACTTTAATGTCAGATAAAGTGGAAAAAGCTCAGATATTGTTTTTATCAACAATAGCAGTGGGTATCAGCAGTGTCAAAATCCAGCTACATCAAGAATATCAAGATTTGTATCCCAAGTTTGCATAATATTACACAAAATGTACTAGTAGCTGAGTTTATTACTACAGATATCTTTGTAACTTAAGTGCCAGATCATGTGGGAAAGCTCAGATATTGTTTTCATCAACAATATAAGTTGATATCAGCGGTGTAAAAATCCAGCTACTTCAAGATTATCAACATTTGTATCCCAAAATAGCATAATTTTAAACGAAAGGTACTAGTGGCTGAGTTTATAACTAACGATACCTTGGTAACTTTAGTGCCAGATCATAGAGATCTGCAATAACTACGAGATTGTTTTTATCAGCAATATCAGTTGATATCAGTGATATAAAAATCCAGGTACTTTAATAATATCAACATTTGTATCCAAGATTTGCAGTTTTAAACAAAAGGTAGTAGTAGCTGAGTTTATTACTAACGATATTTTAGCAACTTTAGTGCCAGATCACGTGGAAAAGCTCAGAAATTGTTTTTTTCAGCAATATTAGTTAATACCAGCGGTTTTAAAAACATGTTACTTTAAGAATATCAACATTTGTCTCCCAAAATAGCATTTTTAAACAAAAGGTACTAGTAGTTGAGTTTATTACTAACGATATCTTGGTAATTTTAGTGCCAGTACATGTGGAAAAGCTCAGAGATAGTTTTTATCAACAATATCAGTGTATATCAGTGATGTAAAAATCCTGCTACTTCAAGAATATCAAGATTTGTCTCCCAAAATAGCATAATTTTACACGAAAGGTACTAGTAGCTGAGTTTATTACTAACGATAGCTTGGTCACTTTAGTGCCAGATCATGTGGAAAACCTAAGAGATTGTTTTTATCAATAATATCAATTGATATCAGCGGTATAAAAATCATGTTACTTCAAGAATATCAACATTTGTCTCCTAATATAGCAGAATTTTAAGCAAAAGGTACTAGTAGTTGGGTTTATTACTAACGATATCTTGGTAACTTTAGTGCCAGTACATGTGGAAATTCTTAGAGATTGTTTTTATCAACAATATCAGTGGATATCAGTAATGTAAAAATCCAGCTACTTCAAGTATATTAACATTTGTCTTCCAAAATACAGGTAAACTTCGGTATCTCGACATCGGATATGTCGACAACCTGGGATATGTAGACGTCCGCCCACGGTCCCGGCATTATTTACTATATAAATGATTTGCAAAAACTCTGATATGTCGACCTCGGTAATGTCGACTACCCCGCTTATCTCGACATATATTCACAGTCCCAAGAGCAAAATTTACCTGATTTATGTCGACATCAGAGCAATTTTCTGCTTTACTTAACCTAATTGTTTGTCAGCTGGTCGCTCGTCACGCACGGACGACTCCGTGTATCTCGACGTCGTCAGAAATTCACACCTTTCACCCCCATGTTTCGACTACATACTGCTTCTGTAATAATTTGTTTGTAGAGGAATCCCAAGCACTCAGTGTCTCTTAGACATTAATTGTTTAATATTATCTGGTTAACTTGGGTACGTAATATCATTGATAGATCTGCTCGATTCGGCGTAAATATACAACCGTTTTTTTATGTCGAAATCTAACATAACTTTAACATTTTGTGAAAAAAAAAAATAGCTGAATTACAATGAATAATATAGACATTTAATTCAAATTAACTTAGAAATTGTGGTAAAATGCATTCAACAGGAAACAATCCAAATCTATGGCATGCGCACGACTATCAGCATGATATCCATGCATTTGTTGCTTCATTGAGTTTGTTTTAATACGCAAATCCTTTTAAATTTTATTTTTAATTTCAAAATGAAATAAGAAATAATTACGAATGACGATGAAATAAAAATGAAATGAAGTGAAGTAACTTTAAAAAATACGCATTGAGTTTTTTTCCCGTATCACGGATGTCGACTTTTTACCGTTTCGATTGGGAGTTTATAGAGCGCATATCGTATCCTGTTCTGACAAAGCAAGTTGCACGCGGATTCGCGGAAAGCTGGATTGAAAACTTTTGCTAGTAAAATTAGAAGATTTCCATAAAAAGGGAAGCATTTTATTAAATTACATTTGTGAATAATTCCACAGATTATCTAAGAAATACAGAGAGTTAGCTAAAACAAACGAGCTACAGTCTATTGAAAATGTATGTAGTTACACATACATGTTTTACTATGCAGTGCTTAAATTAAGGACGTCGAGTCTTAACTCTGATTTCTCGACACCTCGGATATCTCGACATTTCCGGATTGTCCCGCCGATGTCGAGATAACGAAGTTTACCTGTAGCATAATTTTAAACGAAAGGTAATAGCAGCTGAATTTATTACTTACGATATCTTGGTAACTTTAGTGCAAGAACATGTGGAAATGCTCAGAAATTGTTTTTATCAGCAATATCAGTTTATATCAGTGATGTAAAAATCATGCTACTTCCAGAATATCAAGATTTGTCTCCCAAAATAGCACAATTTTAAACCAAAGGTACTAGTAGCTGAGTTTATTAATAACGATTCCTTGGTAACTTTAATGTCAGATAAAGTGGAAAAGCTCAGATATTGTTTTTATCAACAATAGCAGTGGATATCAGGGGTGTCAAAATCCAGCTACTTCAAGAATATCAACATTTGTATCCCAAGTTTGCATAATTTTACACAAAAGGTACTAAAAGGTTCAAGTCATTTACTAGTAGTCAGTTACTAGTAGCCAACTTTACTTACTTGTAGCCAGCTACTAGTAGCCAGTTACTAGTAGCCAATTTTACTTACTTCTCGTAGCCAGCTATTAGTAGCCAGTTACTAGTAGCTAACTTCACTTACTTCTCGTAGCCAGCTACTAGTAGCCAACTTTACCCACTTGTCGTAATCAGCTACTAGTAGCCAGTTACTAGTAGCTTACTTTACATATCTTCAAATTTTATGCATGCCACACAGTAAAAGTTTTGCCGACACAGTAAGATCTGTGATAATTAGAAAATCTAAACACACAATTTCTCTCTAACTAGACTTTAATTAAACAATTATATCGTCTTTCAATTACAAAAGTTAGAGCACTTAAACACTAGGGCTTCACCTTGAATAATCAATTATCTCCAAGACACTCGGCGGACTTTACGCATGAAGAAACACTAACAAATAATTTTTTTCACACTTCCATGTTACGGTTAATTGGAAGTTGCAATAAAATACATCGTATTATTTTTAAAAACTATTTAAATATGTCTTTTTATAGAGCTAGAATTATGTTCGCCCTGTAAGTCAAACATAACATCGTACGAAAGTCATTTAATTGATGTAAATAACCTGCTGAAAATTTTCAACATGTTCAAGGAACTTTTAAAATTTTTTTTACTGTTCTAAAGTTTCTTTCTTTAAATGCGGTAACTTGATAAAGAAAACTGACAAATAATCACGCCAAATCTCCTATCAAAAATGTTAAGTAATCGACTGTATCGGTCAGAATTTCCTCTGCATTCAGAACGTGATTTTACTTTTATCAATATGTACGACCATATCATTTGTATAACGAATAAACGAATTTTAAATAAGTGTGTGCAAGTATTCTTTTGTACTTATAATACATAGTGATTCAGTTGCGAATTTGATCGCGAAAATACCGCAAAAGTTTAGTGTTTCGCGTAAACTCCGCAACACAGTAAGATTTCAAATGATGGAGAACCCTGCATGTCTAATGATGTTTCTTTCTAAATCCATTGTCTGATGCTCATTAGTCTTATAGTTGGTTGACTTTTCAGCCTCACTTTGAATCTTTGAATTGGATGACCAGACTTCTTTTTCCCTTTTTAAACTAAGCAAAAATTGTTTTAAGTACTATGTCAAGCTACGTTTAAGTTCTGTAACTGGATGAATGCCTCCCTACACACATCACATTTACGAGGGTCGTTCAAAAATACGTAAACAATGTTCCTCAACGTCATATTATCATTAAAAGATTATAGATCAACACATTTTCCTAAATAAATTTATTTATTTTGTCGAAGTGTGAAGTTTCATTCCATTTGATTAAACAGAACTCACGTCAGCCAAAATTAAAAGCAACATGTTTTGTTACCACGTTGCACGGTTAACCAATATTGTAACGTCAAAAACAACGCTGAGAAAGTTTGTCAAAAGTATACACATTTTGTTATTTCAAACATGGTTTGTTGCGTCTTCTCCATTCAAAACACATATCCACAATACTTAACACCTGGTTTGCTAACAATTGTACAAATATAGCTTGAATTAGAATGTTATTGTTTTAAATTATTTGATTTACCATGCAACTTTATTATTTCTGCAACATTAAAGTACACATCACGTTCAATGACGTTCTTACTCTTTTGACAATAATTTTAACTTTAACCTGTTTCTTTGCAGACAATCCATCGTCCAATTCAAACTCGCTACCACTCAAAAATTGTACAACTTATTCAAATACACAGATTTTTTGTTCATACAGATCCTGATTTATAAGGATTTAATAAACTTGTAGAAAAAGTTTCCCGAATGTAAAGTCTAATTTTAAAGCTACTTGCTGCTCCGTGACGTCTCCAACGTCATGGTTTTTTTGCCTTTTTTAATCAAGTCCATATGTATTTAGAAGCTGATATCTTTTAAATGGAACGAGATATTACATAACCTGATTTCATTTTAATTAATACAGTAATACTTTATTTAAAAATGTAAATTTTATTTCGTTTCAGCTCCATTTATTAGAGGTATAGCTGTAAATACTAAGAAGTGAAAATAAGAAAATTCCTCAATTTTGACGGTGCTCCGTGACCCCATTTTTGCTGTTCTAAATCCTTGGTAATTTTCATAAATATGAGGATACATTCTAATTTTTTTACTCAAATTATTTGAATCTGTTGTTAAAATATTTGTATTAAATTTGGATATAATATGATGTTAAATAAAAAAGTTAGGACAAAAGTCTATGAACTTTTTGAATGACCCTCGTATACAGATTGTCCTCATATGAGTCTGTAAGTTCTGCGATAGGATGAATGACTTCCCACACACACATCACATTTATAAGGCTTATCACCAGTATGTATCCTCATTTGACTCTGTAAGTTCTGTGAGAAGCTGATGCTTTCCCACACACATCACATTTATAAGGTTTATCACCAGTATGTGTCCTCATGTGTTTCTGTAAGTGTTGTGACTGACTGAATGCTTTCCCACACACATCACATTTATAAGGTTTATCACCAGTATGTGTCCTCATGTGTTTCTGTAAGTGGTGTGACTGACTGAATGCTTTCCCACACACATCACATTTATAAGGTTTATCACCAGTATGTGTCCTAATGTGTTTCTGTAAGTGTTGTGACTGACTGAATGCTTTCCCACACACATCACATTTATAAAGTTTATCACCAGTATGTGTCCTCATGTGTTTCTGTAAGTGTTGTGACTGACTGAATGCTTTCCCACACACATCACATTTATACGGCTTATCACCAGTATGTGTCCTCATGTGTGCCTGTAAGTGACATGATTGGCTGAATGCCTTCCCACACACATCACATTTATAAGGTTTATCACCTGTATGTGTCTTCATGTGCCTCTGTAAACTATTTAATCTGTTGAATGATTTCCCACACATGTCACATATATAAGGTTTATCACCTGTATGTGTCCTCATGTGATCCTGTAGGTGATTTGTCTGTTTATATGCCTTCCCGCAAACATCACATTTATAAGGTTTTTCACCAGTATGTGTTCTCATGTGCATCTGTAGTTTTCCTGGCCAGTTGAATGCCTTTCCACACATATCACATTTATAAGGTTTGTCTGCAGCCTCAGTTTGAATCTTCGATTGGATGACCAGACTTCTTTTTCCCTCTGTAAATTAAGCAAAAATTGTTTTAAGTACTTTGTCAAGCTACGTTTTTTGATCAAATAAATGAGTCCCATTTCAAACAATATTTTACTTTCCTTTTTTTCTGTTTTCTTTCTCTTTTTTCCACTATACAGGTGAATGCATGTAATACATGTTCAAAATGTTTTTTTAAAATACTTTCAAAACAATTAAATTAATTTTATTCTAAATATATTGCTTAAGGTAGGATTCTTCTCACATTTCTTGTATTTAAAAATTAATGAAATTTTCACAGAATCAAGAGGACAATATCACTAAGTGATGGTATCAGTGAGATTAAATTTGACCGTTTAATATTAGAGGCAAGGTCAGGTCAAGGTCATTACTTTTTTCCTGGACATTAAGAATAAAAAATCACCGTTTCCAATCCCTACTTTTAATTTAAAAGATTGAATGTTTTTCTTTTTACATAAAAAGATACTAACATATAGGACCTATACGATGATATTACCAAATTGACATGGATAATTTAAATAAAATGGATATTTGCTAATCCGAATTTCCTCTACTTTTTCGTAAAGTTTTAGGATTTATTAGTTATTTTTATATGCTTCCTATGTTTAACTTTTTCCAATTTTCACATATAGTAAAGTTGTCACATAAAGGCACAAAATGATACAAAAACTAAAAGTTTTGATCGTTTACTAAGAGGGAAAAAACACTTTTTACTTTTTTTGGCTCAAATCTGTACTTAGATTTGAAGCATTTAAAAGCCAACATAGTTCTAGTATGTGGGAAAAATCTTATTTATTTGATATATTTTGACACTTTAGTCCCTTATTATTAATTTAACTTACATTTGAAAATTTCGTCTTGTCTTTGATTGCATAAAAATCATAACTTAATTCAATGTTCTATAATAATTTTTAGAGGCAGACAAGAAGATATTTTCATACGCCACCATTCCGCCAAAAATATAGTCCCTGCAAGTTTTCAAACGCAGTTTACCATTTCTATCTAAAGTTGTGTAATTGTGATGAGGAAAGAAGAATATGGTCTTTTAAATCTCCTACATCTAAATATATAAGACATATCAACAAATGTACTTTGAATGTTCTATCTAGTCAGAAACCAGAGAAGAATCCCACCTTAAAACAAAATCTTAATTTTGAAAATAATGATAAAAAAAGTAGAAAAACAAGAGGCCCACGGGCCTTATAGGTCACCTGAGTATCGTGTAACAACTTTCAAACAATTAAAATTGGTTGGTGTTTTACCCAGAGGCCATTAATTTCACAATTCACAGTTTTGAAAGAGGCACCATTGCTTCTCATAATTATAAACTTAGCATGCTTACTCTATTTACTTAATACCCAGAGGTAGATCAGAGTAACAAAAGGGAAAATGCACTTTCAATAAAAAATAACCATTTTGCTAGATGCACCTTTTTTCATCATAAAAATATAAATAAATATATAAATTCACAATTTTGGAAGAGGCACTCCTTCTTATCATAACCATGTGCTTATTTAGTTTATTTAATACCCAGAAGCAGAGAAGAATATTTTCAAAGAATAAATTCCTTTTCACCATATGATCAATAGAGCCCCGCCCTCACACCAGAACCCCTGACCCTGTTGCCATAAAATTAAAATTTTTGGCAGAGGCACTCTTGCTCAACATTACTATGTACTTAGTTTACTTAATACCCAAGAGCAGAGAAGATTTTCAAAGAAATAATCCATTTTCACTATACAATCAATAGATACATATCTGAGGCTTTTTACTTACATCTGTGTTGATGTGTCTTTCTAAACTTCCAGTTTGATCTTCATCTGAACAATAGTTCTGTAATTTTTCAGTATCGTTCTGAATATTTGAATGGGGTTCAAAATCGCTCCTCTCCTTCTGCAAATATGACAAAGAAATCAGTTTCGTTGCTCTATAGAACAGGGCACTGCTCTGATCATATTTAATGTAATGATAAAAAGTTGAACACATAAATATTTATTTTAAGAATCTATTTAAGAACTCCTTTGACCTTGTGAATTTTTAAAATCGAATCTTCTTAATTTTGATTGAAAAAAAACCTTGGTGACCTTTTATCTATTAAACATTACGTAATTTTTTCTCTAATCAATGCTTGATGACATGATATATGATCTTATGTTTCTCTGCAGAACAAACTAGAGGTACTGTGAGCAATGAGCTCACTAAAATACCCCCTGCCTCCCATATGAATATAATGGCATTGTCCAGGTTTTGTTATGAGAAACCCAAAAGTGTCAGATCAAAAAGTAAAATAGGAGATGGACAATGGCAATATGTAATCAAGATTCTTTGAAAGTCTCATCTAATTTTATTCAGTGGTATGACAGGAGTTGTGGATAAAAGATGGGTACCTCAAAGCGTTACAGACGGATGGACTAACAGACATCGCGATTACAGTATACCTCCCACTTTTCAAGACAGGGGGTATCGTCGAATTTCGACAGCAGTTGCATGCTATAGAAAGATGCAAGATGTTTCGGCATCGGCGACCGTTCAGCACTTCATTGCAATAGAGTTTCGGCACCGCGACGTTTTGGCCCTTTAATTGACGTTTCAGCACCTCGATTTTTTTAAAGAAGAAAATAAATTGTATATTTCTAAGCCTGTATTTGTTATTATTTGTAAATCATTTTTATTATAAGGTAAATTATTGGTTTAACATTAAATATATTAATAAAGTGCCACGCCACAGCATGATACGCCCGTCAAATATTGTTCAATAATCATAAATTCGTTGGGGTGCAAGAAAATAAGTATCCTTGATGAACAGATTGACAAAGATTTCAATGATCTAATTTCCATTTCTTATCATGTTTAAAATACTGTACATACATCTCTTAGAGACTTACAGTGTAGGGATTATTTATAACAAACAATACATCATATAAAATTTTCTAAACTGGCTGTATTAGAGCTTAACAAATATCCATTTGCAGCTTTAAATTGTTTATTGCATATTTTATGAAATTATGGAAATGCTACAGTCTAATAAAACAAGAGGCCCATGGGCCTTGAATCGCTCTTCTGATAAATTGTACAATCTATCACTTCTATTTGAAGCCTATAACTTTAAGTATCCTAAGACCCAAGTTGCATCAACTGACAAAGTTTGATGATTCTTAGTCAATTAGGACTGAATTTTTTAATAATAAAGCCATAAAAAACCATAAGTACATCACAGTGACCTATATTAATATTGAAGTTTTCTGAGGACTCAGATGTATTATAAAGAAAGATTGAAGATTCTAAGCCAATTAGTATTTGAGATATTTAAAAAGTAGGTCACCATGACCTACTTTTTTGTCTACATTCTTTGAAAACCCAAGATACATCAACTGACAAAGTTTGATGATTCTAAGCCAATACGTCCTTGAGATATTCAAAAGTAGGTCATCATGACCAACTTTTTTGGTCACATCTAAAAACCAAAGATGCATCAACAAACAGACAAACTAGATGCTGTCATGAGACAGTAATACCCGCACTAAGGTGTTTGCCTCTAAATGCACACTTCTTCATATTGGGCTTTACCAAGGAAAAA